GTATACCCATAGGCCCGAAAGTAGTTCCTTATTGTGGCTCGTATTTAGGATCCTATTAGGTAATCCCAAAAAGCAACTACTATGGGGCCTATGGGTATATAGTCACATCACTCACTTTTAGTCTTCAGACTTGCGGTTTAGGTTGGGGCAGTTGGTCACCGGCGAGCTCTTTGGGAATCTGCACAATGAGATTCATCAGAAACTGAATCTTGGATACAGCCCTGAAATACACCCAAAGCTCCGGTAACCCTGAGCCCTAAACCCCTAATCTATGGGCCTTAATAATTAGACTAGGGTTCTGGGGTCCTTTATAGTACATTATTTATGACAAGGAACCCCCAAAATATAGGTAATTATTGAGGCCCCTATATTAATCCCTAAAACCTAAACCCCAAACCCCAAACCCCTAAACCCTAAACCCTAAACCCTAAACCTTAATCCTACACCCAAAGCTCCGATGCCAAAACCCCAGAACCAGCCAAACCGGGGCTCCCGGCTAATTCAGTACCCGTCGGGGCGCGCACTTCGATACGAAGCTGGCAGGCGCTTTCAATGTGGGGCTATTCGGGTTTAGGGTGAGGCGTTTTCAGTTTGGGGTTTAGGGTTTTGGGGTGGCAGGCGTTTTCAATTTGGGGTCTAAGGTTTAGGGTGGCAGGTGTTTTCAGTTTGGGGTTTGGGGTTGAGCTTCACATAGAGTATGTATCCCTTGAAATACCCTTTAGAGAAGCCGTGCAATAAGCCTGCAAGCCCCTGTATGGTCAGTCGCCCCTACAGAACCTTCTCATAGCCCGCATAGAAACGCTCAGAACCCCGTTTAGACTTTATCCCAACCGGTCCAAGTCATCCTTTCGCCCCCCCAAAATGGACCCAAAGCCCCACAATAGAGAGTACTTGCACGCTTAGGGTTGCAAACGAAGGTGTTCCCTAAACGCAAAAGCCTAAACCCTCAACGCTTGTAGTGGTGGAGTGGGCTTGCACGTAAGGTTTCACATCGGCTTCCGGCTACTGCCTATAGGGTTTAGGGCGCAGGCTTGGACTCTCTAGAGCCCTAAACCCCAAACTTAGGTTTCGGTGCTTCGGCTGTGGTTTATGGTTTCGGGTACCAGATATGGGAGGTTGCGGTTTAGGGTCTAGCTTGGAGCTTGCGGTTTCAAGGGCAACAGTTCAAGAAGAAAGGAGAACCCACGCATCCCAGCGTCGTCGGGCACAAATTCTGCACTGCCATCAGCACCGTAAAAGTCCGAAAAGGCTTCGTAGAGCACGGAGGTGTCGTACCTGTGGCTACACTGGACGACTATGGTCGGTGAACGAAGCCGGCTCTGGGCCGCCATGTGAGGAATGTCTGGCCGTCCCCCCGGGTTTTTGGGTTTTTTTTTTAAAGTGTAGTGGCTCCTTTTCTGCAAAGCAGTCGGGAACCTGCCTTATTGCAGGCTTACACCTAGTCAAGAAAAGTGGCATCCATCACATCAGACAGCGTCAGGCTCACATCTGTGCTAGAGCCACGGCAGTGACAGACACATACCTGCTACCTTCAGACACACAAGTGCAGCAATTGTGCATGTGCCTTCATCCATCTCGACTACGGCTACGAGTGGACAAATCGGAACTAGCCACATGATTCACAGCAGGCTCAGACGACGAAGACGACATGGAGCCCTCAACAAGGTCCTGGTCCTCATCCACAGCCACAGCCACATGAGCAACCGCATCCAACGACACAGCCTCAAGGTCACTCTCCAGGTTCTGGTCAATCGTCACAGTGGGGAACAAGCTGTTGACCATCTCAGATGGCCCTTCACCAACCACAGAACGGAGCAAGGGTACAGGCCGAGGGACACGGTTACGTCGGCGATGCTGTCGTCCACCACGACCCGGAAGAAGAGGAGGTTCAGGAACTCCAGCTGGAACTTGGAATGGCTCACTTTCGTCAGCTCTGACCAAGTACCAGTCCACATCATCGCAGCCGGGATGTCCCTGGACCTGGAGCGCATGAGGACCCTGTTCGCAACTCACCTCTGCTGCGAGTTTGCCACGTCCCTCACAAGCGTGCCCAAGCCTCCCATGACCTGGGGCAGCATCCTCCCTTGGCCCTCCATCTGGGGGTCGACACCGAGTTCCTTGGCATCAGGAACAGCGACTCTCCCTATGCTTGCTCCTTCGAGCTTGCCCATCTTCCCGGCTTGTCTCGTGAACTCAGCAGCCGCCGCGCCATGGAGCTTCCCGCTGAGGTACGTCGCGACATGATCGGTCTTCGCGTTCTTTGCGGTGTGACTGTTGAACTGTGAGTTCTCGTTCGGGAGAGTTTGCCCCATGGTCTCGAAGAACCCCTCTATCATACCGAGCGCTTTGGCGAAGAGGGGCTTGATTCTTTCCACGACCATCTCGAGACTGGCATCCCTATCCTCGTGGGTTCTCTGGAAGTACCCGTTTCTTGGTGGGATGTTCGCAGGCATGGGACCTCCGTCGTTGAAGTATGCGTCGATCGCGGCTTGCGTGTCTCCGGCGGCAAGGGCAGTTTCCGTTGCCCATATTTCATAGGCGAGGTCAATCTCGTGGACCAGCAGGCTGCGCTCAATCGCCAGGTTGAACGTGTCGGCCTGGGCAGACGCGATCTCGAATATCACCCTCATCGAAGACAAGGCCTTCTCTTTGTCCGACAAGAGCGGGAGCCTCAGGGCGGCGGAACCCATACCCTTCCCACTCAGCCGCACCTTCACGTCTTCGCTGCTGCATATTTCCCGTGCGATCGCGTCGGAGATAGGGTGGATGAGCTTGTGACGTATCACGTCGTTCCATGTAGTCTCGTCTAGGCCGAACTCCTGCCTCAAGGCATCCACGGCATTCAGGTGCTTATCAACGCCTGTCGCGATCAATTGGTGTACCCCTGGGTTTGCGGTAAGCCAGTGGTGGCCCGTTGTCACGATACACGCAAAAGAGGCCACCGCCATGCTCGCGATATATTTCGCGAATGTAGCGAAGGCCGGCATCGCGAAAGCAGTCTCGGCGACCACGGCGGCTCCCGCGGGCGCGTTCGTGGTGGACAGGCCCGCCCCGTCCATGTTTATCGCGGTAGTCTGAGCCGCGACCAAGTCCGCGAAGTTGAGCCCGTAGTAGGCACTCAGGATCGTCCGTGAACCAGGATCCTCGCGACGGTTCTCACCGTTGCCGCGTTCCATCCCGTGCCAGCAGCCGTAATCAAACGGTCCTGTTCCAGGACCAATCCCACGGCCACTTCGGACGAGTTCGCCGGACTGGCGTTGCCGCATCTCAGCCACCTAAATAGTGTGGCAGAAGCCCCGTCGTTGCATGGACTGGTCTCAAGTTCGCGGCTGCTCCATTCCGAAAATTCCCGGCGCCCCCGACATTCACGACATTGCCGATGATTTCGCCGTACGTAGGCCCGAGCGCTCCCGTGTTCAACTGGATGGCCATTGTCTCGAGATTGTCGGCTGTCCCGGTCTGTATCTTGCTGATGACGTTTGACTTCCGCTTGAGCCAAAATGGCTACGGTTTTTGGGGTTTAGGGTTCAGGGTTTAGGGTTTAGGGTTGCAACGACCAGTCGCAGCATTCTATGCCGGCCCAGTGCATCTGCGCTTTAAGAGCTGCGCACATGCGATCGTGACACAAGCAGTGCTGCGACAGCCGAACAGAGGTGGCGATTTTGATCATGGGCATGAGCACCGATTTCGGCAGCGGCAGTCCAACCTTTTGGCGGCATGGATCCCAAGTTGGACTTCGTCTGCCAAATACAAACCTGGCTGGTCTGATGCCCCTAATTACCTATAGTCTCCATTGTAGTTCCTTTTTGGGGGATACTTATAAAATCCTTAGTATATAAGTGGTTAAACCAAAAAAAGGAACTGCAATGGAGACTATAGGTAGGATCCATGTACCTGTAAAGTTTCAACTCTGGCCTTGAGAAGGCCCCTTTCTACAAAGTCTGGGGCCAAGCGGCACAGGGAAAGGCCGAATTTCGGGATGGGCTGAACCAGGAGGACTTTGAAGTCAAATGAAGCGTACGGAAGAAACCCCGGTCAGTTCAACAGCCGATGACATTCGTCAATATCCTACAAGCATTCAGAGAGAGAGAGAGAGTACCAGGTGTGTGTATATATGTATATATATATATACATACAGGGCACGAAAGCCGTGCCACGAAAGCAGATCGAAGACCTCAGCATTGCAGTTACAACCCCGGAGTTCTGAAGATTATCTAAAAAATCGATTTACACTTAGGGTTTACGGTTTAGGGTTTAGGTGCTCAAAATAACTGCAAACTAACAACACAAGCCTCATGACTACCAAGTTCACAGGTAAACTTACAGTCGTAACAATAGTAGGAGCTACAAACGACAGCCAAAATCCAATAAATCCTAAACCCTAAACTTAGGGTTTAGGGTTTAGGGTTTAGGGTTTAGGGTTTCTTAACACCTGTAAAGTCCATGAAATACAATATCTCCAACAACGCCTCGAGCCCTTACATCCTCCAATCCTGAATGTTGAACCTGGACCCTTTACGGTTTAGGGTTTAGGGTTTAGGGTTTAGGGTTTAGGGTTTAGGGTTTAGGGCTTCGGGATCCCATCCCTATAAACCCTAAACCCCATAAACCCAACAACACGAAACCCCCTTTCTTCCGTTACCTGTAGGTTGGTCAGGAAGGACGAAGAATCGGTCGCTGCTCGCCGCGCCGCCTGCGACAGAGAGGCCGACAACATGGGTTTTACAGTTAGGGGTTTCAGGCTTAGGGTTTAAGGTTCAGGGCTTTTGGTTTAGGGTGTAGGGTTTAAGGTTCAAGGCTTCTGGTTTAGGGTTTGAGGTTCAGTGTTTTGGGTTTTGGATTCAGGGTTTCGAGTTTGGGATGTAGGGGCTAGGCGACGAAGACCGCCAGTGGTAGTATTGCTTAACCGATGTGAATGTCAAAGAAGATGCGAATGCGAAAAACGGTAACCCGGGCCTTAAACAACCTTCTTTGGGACATCACAATACGGACCCTAAACCCCCTAAACCCTATACGGGGATCCTTCAGAGTTCAGGAAGACCATAATCCGCAGGGCCTTGCGCTGCGCCGCTTCCCGGTACCTAAGTCCATCAGGCACAAGCCCTGAACCCGGGAGTGAAAGGGTGTAGTGAAAAGGTGTAGGGTTTAGGGCTCAGGGTTTGTAGCCCTTCAAAGCATCTCAAAGCACTACCCAGAAAACTAGTAGACAACAGCACGCAAGAGACGTAACACAAAAACCACAGCCAAAGCATATGGGAGCTTCCGACAATTAGGGGTACCTGATTTTGGGGTCCTTCTAATAAGGATCCTCTTATTTACCGTACTATATTAGGGTCCCCTATTTTCGGAAAACCCCATATTGTCCCAGGCACATCTGCGTGCGGCGGGCATCTTCGACGGTCCGTGAACCACTCCAACGGTCCAGAGCCCAGTGGCCTCAGATCCGTTTGTCTTAGGGTTTAGGGTTTAGGGTTTAGGATTTAGGGTTTAGGGTTTAGGGCTTAAGGTTAGGGTTTAGGGTTTAGGATTTAGGGTT